GGCCCGATGCTGGTAACTGCTAGGGATGACGTGGCGTCAAGAAGACCAGCACGTGGTCTTCGCCTAGTGTAACGGCTCCGTACCATCCGGGAGGTGGAGGACCGAATAATCAGGGCACGGGTAGTTGCCTGATGACGTGTCTCCGCGTATGGGACACGTTGAGAGCGTGGGGGAGTTCAGAGGAACTTCCTGAGCTGGATGGGTTCTATAACACCCCAGTTCTATACCCCCAAATAATCACATAATCATTTAGGCACATATTAAAAATTTCGTCAGAGTATAATTATAAACATAGTATAAAAGAGGTATGTCACATTATACATGAATTTAAAATATTCAACACCTGCTCAACAATTGATATGCAACAGTGGGGCAACTTTGCAACAGAGAAACTTAGTTCTTACACCCACATCTCAATATTTAGAATAAAAGTGGAAAATCTAAACATTGAATAACATCAAACATATATATATATATATATATATATATATATATATATATATATATATATATATATATATATATATATATATATATATATATATATATATATATATATATATATATATATATATATATATATATATATATATATATATATATATATATATATATATATATATATATATATATATATATATATATATATATATATATATATATATATATATATATATATATATATATATATATATATATATATATATATATATATATATATATATATATATATATATATATATATATATATATATATATATATATATATATATATATATATATATATATATATATATATATATATATATATATATATATATATATATATATATATATATATATATATATATATATATATATATATATATATATATATATATCATCGAGTATGAACCACCAACATAATTCATGTTTACATAAACATTCATCAACAAGATACATGTACAAATGTATCACAAAAGAATCATAATCATCATAGCTACCCGGTGCTACATATCAGAGTCGACCGACCAAAAGAATGAAGACACACTTCACAAAAAGACCACCAGCATACTGTTCTTGATAGAAACCTGTTCTATCAAGAACACATACCTACTCTGCAATGCCTCATAGAGCAGCATAAAACAGCAGAAGGGTGAGAAATATTATCATAATAACAATGCATATAATTATATATCTTAGCATAAAAATACACATATTCTACATTCTCACCATAATTCATCGTCACTCACCCATATACATCACAATTAGGGATGGCAACGGGGCGGGTCGGGGGCGGGTTTAACTATACCCGCACCCGCACCCGCCTCCATGTAACAGATCCGCCCCCGCCCCCAAATTCAATCGGGGGTGAAAATTTACCACTCAGACCCGTCCCCAGTAGAAAACGGGTGCACCCGCACCCGCCCCGCCCCCACCCGCAAAAAATTATTATTTTTTAATTATAATAAAAATTAGTAATTTAATTAAAAAATTGATTATTTTAATAAATTAATTAATTATTTAATTAAAATTTTAATTAATAAATGAATATTAACTTGATTAATTTTATTATTTTACTTGCAATAAAAATATTAATAACTTAATTAAAAGTATAATTAATAAATAAATATTAAAATAAATAAAATAAGAAAATCAAAATAAAATATATTATTTGGGGCGGGGCGGGGGCGGGTGCGGGCGGGTCTTAGTGTCTACCCGCACCCGCACCCGCACCCGTAGTTAAGAACCGGGTTTCACCCGCACCCGTACCCGCACCCAATTAAATCGGATTTCCCCCGTTAATTTCGGGGCGGGCCCGGGCGGGTGTGGGCGGGCCCGGGTTTGTTTGCCATCCCTAATCACAATGTGAGTATATATATATATATATATATATATATATATATATATATATATATATATATATATATATATATATATATATATATATATATATATATATATATATATATATATATATATATATACACACACACACACACACACACTAAACCAAACATATTTATCATGCATACCTTCACAATTCTTATCGTTCCATATAAACATATATATTCATGTTTATTCATTAATGCACAATTACAAAGATGATAAATGCAAATCATAGAGACCGACTCACGACTCTATGCAAATGCAATGCGGTATCGACTCAATCATCTCAAGTTCACTCAGGAACTTATTGGAACCATCGCTCGTTACCAATGTAACTCCCCGTCGGGCCTACGTTGTTCATCCATTGCTCACACCTCACATAGACACACAATGTTTATGGATTGCTTACACCTCACATTGGAACACAATCCGATTGCTCACATCTCACCTAGGCACACAATCGTTTGTAATCATCGCTCACACCTCACACAGGCACACGACGTTACAACGGATTCTCATTAGAATCACACAACACAAGAATGTACGCCATTATGCTTCACATACAAAATGACTCAAGACACTCTTGAAATGCATACATATTCATAATATATTCATGCATTCATCTCATACTATCACATACAATCTATATACATTCAAATCAATTACGCCAAACAACAACGAGCATCGCTTTACCACCTAATCGGAAACGAACTCTATCACAATTAACATGCATTTACATTTAATTTAAACAATGCATTTATTTGGCAAAAGGCCACAATTCACAATAAATTCCACAATCTAGGATTCACTCCATAAGGATACCCACAACACATCGTATAACAACACGCACAAGCTATACATTATATAACAAAAGCATACTGCATGATAACACATTAATCGCACACATTCGCGACGGTATAAATCAACACAACGATACGTTTTCAATTTTCTGCTATAATTGAACCAGGTACAGGCCTCAAAACCATTTTTCGTAGAAAGAGCATCTCGTTAACTTTCCAACGCTTCGAACGGGGGTCAAAACCTACTTACGACTCAAGAGTTATGAATTTTCAAAGTTTTTCCAAAACAGAATTTTTCTGCATAAAGACTGCTACGGGTTTGGCATTTTCGCCCGAAAATCCGATCGATTCAATTATTTTCTTCGAAACAAACACATACTCATTCATACCAAGCATATAATAGTGATTTAGAACCATCAAACGTGAAATCTACGACTTTCGATTTCAATCCGAATTTTAAACCCTCAAATCTCAAAAAATGCAAAAAACTTACAAAATCAACCAAATTCGATAAAACAAGCATACTCGATCACGACCTAACATTACCTGACACAACTACGCAATCTATTCCGACTTTCGTTCGTAAAAACATCGATTCCTCACAAAAATCTCAATTTCAACCTAGAACTCAAGCTATGGAAAACAAGAAAACATCCAAGCAAACACATACATAATGATATACATTGATGAGATAATAAGATTTCACACCCTTACCCGATTAAATCGATTCTTAGAAGTTGTTTTGAAGATTTCCAAACTTTTCCTCTTTTTTTTCTCTTTTCTCTTCTTCCTCTTTCTTTCTCTCCTTTTTCTCTCTATTTCTCTTTTCTTTCTATTTCTTCTTCTTATCTTTTTTATTTTATTTTTATTTTACACAAATTTAATTAATTCATTTTCTCACGTCATTCTACACTTAATCACTTTTCTACCAATTTTACTAAATTCCTCACATAATTCTATTTCCACTAAATTTCTAACTTATCATTAAATGAGAAATGTCCAAAATACCCTTCATTCTAATTTCCCCGAAAACTCTCAAAAACGGTAAAATATCATAACATGTCAACATATCATATTAACACACTAATTTCACAAATAAAATAATTATCACACAATTTAAATAAAAGACTCAACAAAATGGTAATAATCGAAATCGGGGTGTTACAGGTTCTGCCCGACAGCGGGGCAGAAGGGAGAGCGCGTCAGGCAAATGTGAGGAGCCTGCTCGACTGCCATGGGCCCGTGTCCGATGGGAGAAGATGTTCTGCCCGACGGGAGAAAGGTCTCTGCTCGACGAAGAGGCGACTTAAGTCTTATTGGACCTTCCGACCAGATGAGTTTGGGCCTGCTCGACTATGGATCAAGTGTTGTCCCAGTCCAAAACATAATATATAATAAAACTCATCAACACAACATAACACTTTATAATAGTATAAAATTCAACGAAACGCGTTATTTTCATAAAATACAAAAGTTGGAAATGATACAAAAGAAAATAAAAAATAAATTTTAATTTTAAAATTACATAAACTCGTTGATTTAGTAATTTTATTGGTGGAGAATAAAATTTATTTTGAAAAATTATGGTTATTAATGAGATATTAATTTTATATTTTTATTTATAATAATAAAAAATAATAATAAAAAGTTATTAAATTTACATTAATAGATTGAATTAACGGAGTCATAAAATTCAAATCTAATATCTAAATCCAAAAGTCGTTTCCCACCTACAACACTATTGTTTCGTTTAAGAATTAGAATGACTAGTGTAACTTCTTGACACGACTGTGCATATCTTTAGGATAGTTATCACTCAAATAGTTATATCAGTAAGTAAATAAAATAGATAGAGTAAATTATGGTTAGAGTGATACCTTAAATTGCACTTGTGATGACTTATATATAATGTACGATAATTGGACCCATTTTGCATTTGTAGCCGGCCAAAACATAATCCAATAAGATAATTGTACACAATTATTAACTAATAAAAAATTAGCGAACACAATAATATTTTATAATTTGAATGAATAAATGTCTAATTTAATGATTTTCTTGTAAGTTACTTGTTTACATTAATATATTAATAAATAAATCAATTTTACTTAAAAACTACCTTATCCAATAAAAGAATTTAATAAGCAACCCGTCGACATAACTAGTCCATTTTACTTTATCATTACACCGTCTTTTTTTGTCGGTGAATTATATCCCTTTTTAGCGGTGGAGATTTAACCACAGCACGTCGGCACCAACATATTCACCAGTAACACCAGTTATATATATTGCTAGATAGAGTTTTCTACATTACAACATAGGATCATCAAGATGGAGAAACCAACTGAGAAGGAAACAAAGCCAACAAACGAAAACGAACCAGGCAAAGAAAGCAGCACCGAAGGGGTTCCATTTAATAAGGACAGTCCTTATCTGAAATACGATAACTTAGAGGATTATAAGAAACAAGGTTACGGTACACAAGGTCACCAGCAACCTACGGAAGGTCGTGGAGCTGGTTCTACGGAAGCGCCAACTCTCTCTGGTGCTAACGTTTCTTCTGAGGCTGAGTTCAAAGCTGCTGATGCTGTTAATCGAAAAGGAGTTCCGTAGTTTATGTACTGTCTAGGGTTTCTTCATTTGTGTTTTAATAAGATCTTGTGTTTTAAGTTTGTGGAGTTGTCTTTGTGAGGTGTTAGATTGTTGTAATTTTTGTGTTTTCGTTTAGGTTCTTGTTGGATCTGGGTTTATTAAAGTGGATAATTTAATTTAAATTGTGAAGTAAGTGCTGTTTATATTTGATGAGTAAATCGAATCGAAGTCACCATCGTCCAATAGCACCATCATCCAGATTCCAACAACATAATTTCTTAAGCAACCCTTAAATAGTAGCTTGACTTTTAATTTTTCATTTTAACTAAAAATTAGCCACATATATATATATATATATATATATATATATATATATATATATATATATATATATATATATAGCAAGGACCCAACTGGATAAAGTCGAGCTAGAGAGCTCATTAAGAAAGATGGCCATCTTTCATTTGCATTTTAAGATGACCATTCCATTTTTTAATAATTTTTTTGTCCATTTAAAAAAACTAGGGTCACATTAAAGAGAAAAATTTACATAACAATTAATATTAATTAATTTAGGAGTAAAGAATTTAATACAGTCGATTAATAAATTTTTTGTTTTAATAAGAATACGCACATAAAACAAATTAAGATTTGGATTACATCCGAAATTGACAAGTATTTAAATTGACAAGTATTAAAATATGACAAATTCATATCTTTCTACTAGAATTGAAGAAGATGAACATGGAGGTTCATCTTTGTGTAACAGAATTCTGTTACAGATGCAGAAGAGTAAGAGAGAAAAGGAAAGAAGGAGTGAAAAGAAGTTATGTTATTGATATTCAATGTACACAAGAGAGTATTATATATACATACTTAGTCTACAAGTGTAAAGTGCCTAAGCTCTTTATTTGTTATCTCTAATAGCCCCCTCAAACTCATGGTGATGTTTTTGAGGTTTTTCAAACTTGCAACCCTGAGTTTGTGCCGTAAGTGCTGAAATGCTCTAATCCCTAGCGGTTTTGTAAGCGTGTCAGCTAGTTGAACGAATGCAGGGACATGATGGACATGTAGTTGTTCAGCTATAACACGTTCACGCACAAAATGAATATCAAGCTCAATGTGTTTGGTACGGGCATGAAGAACGGGGTTATGAGAAAGCAGAACTGCACTCAAGTTATCACACATCAGGATAGGAGTATGATATGTGACTCTGAGTTCAGACAATAATGACTCTAGCCACAGTAATTCAGACGTGGTGTGAGCGAGAGCACGATATTCTGCCTCCGTGCTGGAACGAGCAACCAACGCTTGCTTCTTAGAGCTCCATGAAACAAGATTGAGACCAAAGAAAATGCATAACCAGAGGTGGACCTTCTGTCATCGGGGTCGCTGGCCCAGTCAAAATCGCTATAGGCATGCAGTGGTAATCTGGAAGTGGAAGCCGACGGTGAGAGATGTAATCCATATGAGACAGTTCCACTTAAGTACCTGAGGATTCCTCTCACTGCAGACCAATGTGTGTCTAGCGGATCAGACATGAACTGGCAGGCTTTATTCACACTGTAGGCAATGTCTGGCCTAGTTAAAGTCACATACTGCAGTGCACCTACAATGGACCTATAGAACGAGGGATCTGTTAATTTGGAAGCTCCATGTCTACTGAGCTTGTAGTTTGTCATCATAGGAGTCGGAACCCCATTAGCATTAACCATGTTGGCTCGAGACAAGAGATCTTTGATGTACTTGGATTGAGTTAATAGCATTGAACCATCTGTTTGAAAGTTCACTTCAATACCAAGAAAGTACTTTGGTCTGCCTAGCTTCTTTAAAGAAAATGCAGTATGAAGTTGATGAATCAGAGTATGAATCAGTGTTTGATCAGAGCCTGTAATGAGTATGTCATCTACATACACAAGAGCATACATAACAGTGCCCTGAGAGTGGTAGAGAAACAAATAATTATCACACTTAGAAGTGATAAATCCAAACTGGATAAGAGCCTGTGCCAGTTTTTCATACCAGGCCCTTGGAGCCTGCTTGAGGCCATAAATAGCTTTGTGAAGCTTGCATACAAGTGTCTTGCCAGTTGTGGAAAACCCTGGAGGTTGAGTCATGTAAACTGCATCAGTCAAAGTTCCATTGAGAAAGGCATTGTTGACATCAATTTGTTGAATGTCCCATTTGTGTGTGAGAGCTAAAGTGAGAATTACTCTGATAGTGGTTGGCTTAACAATAGGGGAAAAAGTTTCAGTATAGTCAAAACCATGTTCTTGATGATATCCTTTGGCTACAAGTCTAGCTTTGTACTTGTTGATGGATCCATTAGCATTCTCCTTGATTTTGAACACCTATCGACAGCCCACAGCTTTCTTATCAGGTGGTAGAGGTGTAAGGGTCCATGTGTAGTTGGCTTGTAAAGCATCAAACTCAGCTTGCATAGTAGTGTGCCAGGCAGGGTGAGATAAGGCTTGTTTAACAGTAGCAGGTTCAGACTCAGTATGTGCTAACAATGCCTTAGGTTTGGATTTCCTTGTCTTGGCTCTAGTCAACATTGGATGATCATTAACCAAGAGTGAAGTGGAAGGTGTGTGGCTGTGAATAGAAGGGGATTGAGAGGACTCATATATGGGATTAGAAAATGTTGAATGTGAGGTAGTTTCAAGAGAGGTTGAGTTGTGAACATTTTCAGAAGGAAATAGGTTGGAGGTAGTACCTTCTGGATAAGCACATGCCTCATGCTCTGAGTTGGATAGACTGATATCAGTACCTATGGTATTGGGAGTAGTGCTAGCAGGACATGTAGAGGGGCCTGCTTCAGATGTATGATGGGTAATAGCTGTTAAGGGAGACACAATTTTGGGAATATTTGACACGGAACCTTGAGTAGCTTGTGCGGTAGCAGGTGTCATAGTAGTTGTAGGTGTACCAAGAGAGGATGAATTGATGTTGATAGGTTCAGGAGGCAGACTAGGTTGGTTAGGCTGCTCAGACATAGGTACTGCCAAGGAGTCTAAGTGCATTGATGTATGGTCAGTAGTGACAAGATCCAAGTGCTGGTTTGTGGAGACATTGTTCACAGGTGTGATAGTTGGAGTCTGGGATGCTGTATTTGGTGCCTTTGATGACAGGCTGGATGGACAGGCTAGAGGTTTGGTTATAGATGCAGGATCTGCTATGTAATGGACTGAAACAGCTGAGGAAAGGGAAACAGTTCTTCATTGAAGTTTACATCCTTTAAGATGTAAATCTTTCCAGACTTGCTTAGACACTTGAACCCTTTGTGTTTGTTGCACCCCAAAATTTGCCCTCTTTCAAGGATTGACTCATTTCTTCAAATTCAATGACATAAGGGAAGCCCATCATTCCAAATTCAAGATTCATAAATTCAAGGCTAGATTCAAGAATATTACAAAGAAAATTTCATGACATTTGCAAGAATGTCACACTTGTTACAAAATCCAAACTCTTGGTAATACTTAGGAAATTAAGTTATTTCTAGTCTTAATTCAAGTTTCTAAAAATAACTTCATGTTATGGTATCCCCCATGCTCCATCAAGTCCACATGACCCTCTTTGTGCTTACAAACATGCAAGGAAAATATTTAAGAGCTAATTCAATGTTGGAATATCTCAAGATCAAGGCTATGCATACATTCATGGGCAATTTGAATATGGTCCAAAACAGCCCCATGCAAGAAGTGGCAATGTGTATCATGTCACAAAATATACATGTCACAAGACCAAGGGAATGGCATATGATAATGCATCTAAAAATCAGAATTTCAAAATTCTGTCCAAAGGTTAACATTGACCAAGAGGGTAGTCCAAGCATAAGCCAACAAAGAGGTGAAAGGATTGAGGGCAATGTAGAGGGCTGCAGAAAAAGACAGCATGGGAAAGTAGTGCAGAAAAATGCAGCATAGCCATATACATGGAAATGGAATGAAAGAGAGTGACATGAGAAAAGGTGGCAAGAGACATTGCCCCATGAAAAAATCTGATGTTTGGGGGGAAGAGAAAACCCTAGGAGCTGAGATAAGAGGAGGGGGCTATAAACAAGAGGATTCATTCATTCAACATTCATTTCTACACACACTTGCAAAACCAGAAAATAGAGAGAGCAAAACAATACCCTAAAAAAACAGAAAAATAGGAAGCTTTGCAAACCAAAAAAAAGAGAGTGATATAGAACCAAGAGGATCATTAAGAAACAAAACCTTCACAACATAGAGGGAAGAGGAGTGAGGTACATTCAACCAAGACCAAGGAGGACTTGCAAGAAGGATAAAAAGCTCTTGGGTATCCATTTCCTCCAACCTTTCTCTCTTTATATTTTTGCTATTTACATTCATTTCGTTTACTCTTTTATGTGTTGTTGTATTGTATGCATCATGTAAGGTTCTAAGGGTTCCAAAAAAACATTTTTAAGAACCAATAAAAAGGAAGAAAATCACAAAAGACAGCAAAAAATACAGCAAATACTGTATTTTTCGCTTCAGGTCGCGGCGCGACCCATGTTCGCGGCGCGACCCATGTTCGCGGCGCGAACTGTCAAAAACAGAATCAAAACTTTTCTCAGTTCGCGGCGCGAACATGCAAAAAACAGAATGTTCATTTTTCTCAGTTCGCGGCGCGAACACCCTTTGCGGCGCGAACTGATCAGTTTGTTTATGCTTTTTTGCTGTTTTTTACCTAAAATTTTTTTTTCAAGGAGTTCGCCCGGCGAACTCCTTGATGGCGTGCCGTTTTTTTCGCATGTCTCGATATTTTTTTTTGCCGACTAGCCCATATGTTTGCATGGTTTTAGTGTAAATATTGCTATTGTCTTTGTTGACTCTTGATTACATAACCATTTTCAAAAAAATAAACTCTCGATTTTATCGAGCCATTTTCGACCATGTAAGTCGGCCGCCTTGTGCGTCCGCCATCGACCTTGTTCGTGTCACCTCAAACCTTTTTAAGCAATTAAACCCTTGACCCAACGTCAAGCGGATTTTCTCAAACGATTGTTAAACCAA